TCTCTGCTGGACTCCTGGACTTCTACAAAGGCTCTCTTATCCATGGGTAATTATTTAAATTAGTGTTCTCCAGGGGCTCCTAGACTGACTGAGAGGGGCTGGTGCTGGTTCATGGGCTGCTTCAGGGTCTATAGCAGGGCCAAGGTCTGTGTACCTATTAATATACACATGGGTGGGTGAGACTCCTCCCAGGTCTGTTGGCTTATGGTGCTAGTTACAGAGTCAAAGCCAAATGGGGCTGTAGCCCAGTCCTCAGGATTATGAAGCTGTTTTTGAGTTTCTAGCCAACCACAGATGGCAAGTCAGCTGCCTGGGTGCAGACCTGCCTCCTTAAAACAACTCTCCTTGTTCTTAGGCTGGACCAGGGTTTCACAATCTCCTACCTGGATCCCACATCTCCCACAAAGGCACTTTGTCTAAATAGATGCCAACTTGTTGGGGGGTGGATACTGTGAGGCATATTTTACTACCATCTTGCTGACTTCACTCATTCCTTGTATATTGATGCTGGCAGGTTGGGTCTGGGGACCCAGATGGAGTCCCACAGGACCAGCCAAAATCCTTGGCTTTGTGTAGGAGAGAAGTCAAACATGAGCCAGCAGGAGGTGAAAGCAGAGTTTACTGAAGATAGAGAGCAGATACAGGGTCTGGGAGATGAGAAAGGAAAGAAACTTGAGTCTTGTCTTTGTTTGAGGTCTGGGGTTTTTTACTGAGGACGGTGGTCTGGTGTATGGGTCTTCTCAGGCATCCACGAACTGGTTAGAACCAGGAAAAGGGCCCAGGTGTTATTCCTTGGAGTCAGGAGGCCTTGGCATCGAGATGTCTAGCACCAGTGGTCTCATATACACATATGATAGCTTCATCAAGTCATTCTCACCTCGTCTTTCCTTAGATGTTATCTATTCTAGAGAAATCATTAATTTCTGGTCCCTTAAAAGGAGGACATATGCTATTTGCATTACAATGCATGTGTAAAGTGGGGTGGGAGTGCAGGGCCTAGCAGGAATAGAAGCAGGAAAAGGAACAAAAAGCAGATTGTTATGGAGTCCTTCAGTTTCCCTGTCTCACTATTTTTGTTTTTATTTTGTAGTATTTTCTGTTCTTTCTGTCTGGAGTTTCTTGTTATTTGGTTTGATTTTCTTTGGAACATAGCATTTTTCTCATAATTCCATATATTTTCACATTTTATTTTTTATTTAGACAGAATGTTTTAGCTTTTTTTCTTCTAGTAACTTAATCACTTACAAATTTCTTGACAACTATATGTTTAGTTTCCAAATGCCCATTTAAAATATCATCTTCACGCAGGTGTGAATTATATACAATAAAATTCACACATATTAGTGTGTAGGCCAATGATTTGAGAAATGTGTACCTCTGTGTAACCACAAACCCAGTCAAGCTAGAAACAGTTTTCATCTTCTGAACCAGTTCTATTCTTTTGCCATTCAGTCTCCCCCAGCAACACCGCACCAGGCAACCAATATTCTTTTTGTTAGTATAGATTAGTGTTTCCCTTCCACAGTTGCATATCAATGGCTTTATAGAAACGGATTCTCAAATCTGGTTGTTTTATTTTTCCATAATGTCTGTGACATTCTTCTGTGTTGTTTCTTGCATCAGTAGCTCATTCCTTTCCATCATGAGCTTGTGTAGCATTATATAGATATAAAATTTGTTTATCCATTCCAATATTGATGGACTTTTGGAATGTTTCCAGGTTTTGGCAATTTTTTTCCAGGTTTGGCAATTATGATTGAGCTGTTTGTGAACATTTGAATTCAAGTCTTTGAATGATCATATATTTACCTAAGTGGTAAATACCTAAAGGAAAAATGGATAAATATCTAAAAGGAAAATTGCTAGGTTATGAGCATGATTAAATCTGTAAGAAGCTGCCATGCTGAGTTTCAAGTTAACTAGCATTTTACATTCCCACCAGCAATGTATGAGAATTCATTATGAGAATTGATTCTCATCTTTATTAACAAACAGGATGGTCAGGTTTTAAATTTTAACCACTATGATGTATATATTGTGGTATATCACTTTGCTTTAATTTTATTTTGCTGGTTGACTAATGATGGTGAACACATTTTCATCTGCTTATTGGTCATTGTTATTTCTCCTTTTGTGAAAACTTAATTTTTTCCCAACCTTAAGTAGGTAGTTTGTCTTATAATTCAGTTGTAATAGACACTTTGATATTTGGGAAATAATTCCTTTATCAAGTATGTGATTTGCAAATATTTCCTCACATTTTGTGTCATATCTTTTGAGTTTCTAACAGTTTATTTCCAGGAACATATGCCTTAATTTGATGAAATCCAAATTGACCATTTGTTTAATTATTTATTTTGTGCTCTACATAGGACATTTTTTTCCATCTTCAAAGTTGCAAAGATTTGTCATACTTTTTTTTTCTGGAAAGTTTACACATGTACTTTTACATTCATCTCTATGATTGATTCCAGGTATTTTGTGTATGGAATAGGGTTCAACTCTTTTTCTCATATGGATTTTCAGTTGTTTAGCACAATTTGTTGGAAATGGTATCCTTTTACTCACTGGATAACTTGTCATATTTGTCAGAAATCCACTGAATATAGGTGTGATGTGTTTTTGTCTATTTCTGGACTTTTTATTCTTTCCTACTAATTTATATATTTATCCTTATATCATTATGCCCTGCCTTGATTACTATAATGTGAGTCCTCCAATTTGTTCTTAATTGTGGAAGGTAGAATAATGGTCTCCCCAAAGATGTCCATGTCTAATCCCTAGTACCTGTGATTATGGTATCTTACATGGAGAAAAGAACTCTTCAGATATTAATATTACCTTAAAATCGAGAGGTTATTCTTGATTTTCTAAATGGGCTCAGGGTAATACCACATGGAAGTGGGGGTGGAATGGAGAGAGACAGAGAGAGAGACAGAGAAAGAGAGAGACATGTAGACCGACAGACAGAAGGATATACATGAGGTTGAAGAAGGATCAGAGAGAGACAGTTGCTGGCTTTGAAGATGGAGAAAGACACCATGAACCAAGAAAGGCAAGAAGCCTCTAGAAGCCAGAAAAGACAAGGAAACAGATTCTCCCTTGGAACCTCAAGAAAGGAACACAGCTCTGTAGCAACTTGATTTAGTCCAGTGATACATCTGTCAGATTTTGAACTGACAAAATTTTAAGAAGTAAATTAGTATTTTTTAAAGCCTGTAAGTATGTGGATATTTTGTAGCTGCAGTAGAAAATTCATACATTAATTTTTAATGTTTTTTGGCTTTTCTATCTGTTTTCCATTTTCTTTTAGTTTTAGTATTGTCTTGTTAATTTCTACAGAAAGCCTACTAGGATTTTCACTGGAACTCAGTGAATCTGTATATCACTTTAGGGATGTAGGGATTGTAAAAATATTTTTTCCTCCAATTTAAGAACTTGTTTTAGCTCTCCATTTATTTAGGTCTCCTTTAATTTTTCTCAGGAAGCTTATATAATTTTCAGACTATGGGTTATGTACACGTTTTGTTAAATCTTTCCTTTTGTGGCACAGGCTTTTTTAAATACTATTACAAATGATATTTCAAGTTTTGATTTTCCACTTCCCATTACTATTGTATAGAAATATAATTTCATTTAATGTATTGTCCTGTTATCATGATCTTGCTTAATTTACTATTAGTTTGGTAATATTTTTATAGGTTCTGTAGGTTGTTACATATATTATAGAGTATCTGATGATTAAGATTAACAGGGCTCCACAGCATAGATTTACATCAGGCTTTGTAAAACTTAAGACACAGCCCAACAGGAGAAAGAAACAAAGCAATCATAGGGAAGCTTGAACTCTTTCAGGCACAGCCAGCCAGTATCATGTCTCAGGATGTTCTTCATCTATGGGTTCCAAATCACCAAGATATATGCAAGGTATCTCAATTTCGGGCAGGCTAATGCACAAATTTACAAAGAGGTCTCATATATCATTATGTTTACATACTTAAAACTAGTCTGTGTAACCAGTTAAACCAGGTATAAACCATGAATCTATATATTCCTCCAAAATGTAGACAAGCTTGTACAGGGTGCTTCCAAGGGAGTTTTATACTTAAACAGCAAATTATAAATCACTAGGTACCACATCCAATGCTTATCTTGGCCAGGGGTTAGCACTAGAATTTTAGGTACACCTGGAGATAACTAATAGAGCAGTTTCATTCCACCTGTAAAATAATCCTATCCTTACACAGTTCATCTTCCTGATCCTTGGTCAAGCTTTCTTAAGTACAAATTGCTCATGAGTATCCTTTTTTCATGCATTTTAGATAACATTTATAGAATAGAAAAAGCAAAAAGACAAGCACCAATGGCACATAGGTATTGCTCTCAAGAAACATTTGAGTTTTAACAAATATTCCAGCATAAACATGTTTCTGATTTTGACAACTCTCCTACCTCCTTCCAGAACTCAAATTTGAACTTTGTGAAAGGTATTTGTAGAGTGATTTGATTTAATTGTAATTAATTTTCCATTTCAAGATTTCTTATCATAGAAGAAAAAATGTCTTACATAATAAATACATCAATCTTTATTTAATTACCCATTTTACTCTGGTATATATATTGTAACTGCTAAGAAGTCTGGGATCTTAATTCACAAAAGGCTATTCCAGTTTCCTAGAAAAAAGTACTATAAACTGTAATGGCCTCTTTTATTACTAGCAGGCTATGAATGTGTAAATATAATTGAATGGAGAAAATTTTTCCTAAAATAAATTTTCAGAGGGTTTTAGTGATGAGAAGTAGAAACATTGTCTTCACTTTTGGTAACTATTTGAAGACAACAATTTATCACAGGTCTTTTTAGATTAATTTTACGTAGTGTTTAATTCATTAGCACGTACTAATTGATCAAGATTTTTGTTCTAGGGATGGGATTTACTAAGTTAGGTTGTTCATGAGCTACCATTATAAATAAAATCTTAAATTCTGTTATGAATTAGAATCTTGTGATATGCCAGTATTCGTGAATGCCAGACTCAAGAGCAGTGGTACAAGGTTTCAGCTCAATGACCAGCTGGACTTTGAATGCTATGATGGATATGAAAACAGACTTGGACACATCACAGGCTCCATAGTCTGTGGTCACACTGGTTGGTCTGATACACCCACATGTTATGGTAAGTTACCCTTTTTTCAGGTATTCTTTTTTTTTTTTTTAGGATAAAAAAAATCTGTAATTGTTGAATGACTATGTTGTGCACCTGAAACTAATATACCATTGTCAACTATACTTCAATAAAAAAAAAAAAAACACCTTTTGCCTTCAACTAGCAGTTATCAGTTAACTGGAAATAAGGTTTGTAAAAGGAACACTGAGTTAAAAAATGCTATGTGTTCCTTTTAAAAAAGTTTGAATTATCTAGAGGTATTCTTAAGGCACAATAATTAAAATCAAGGTGAATGCTTCTGATTTAATGTCAGCTGGGAAGAGAAGGTGTTCTGAAACTCAAAGAGAATATTCTATCTTTAACACAGTACGTTAACGTAATGTTTCCGATGGGTCATATACATCACAGATTTGTGACTAAAGTATAACTATTTTGTTTTACTAAATGAAAGCTTTTAAATTATTTTAAACTTAGCTCTCCTTAGTAACACTGTAGTTTCTTACAACTTCCTCAGCTATTTTGCTCTTGAGTTTCTGCTTGACCCCTCCCACCTTGAGAGTTAATTTCTACAGGTCTCGAGAGGAGCTCTTTATTTTCTGACTTTGACAAGTTCTGTGGATGGTTGTATGAATCTCTTTTGTGTTTGCCACAATTCCAGAATTAGAAAGAGAGCTTGGATGTGTGGGAAAATAAGTGGATGTAGAGTGTGCAAAGCTTTGACAACAAAAGAGTATTTGGGAAATATCTCGGTAAGTGGATTCCAGTCTTTATGCGGGAGAATTTTATGAGCGGAGGCTGGATAAGAGGCTAAGGAAAGACTATTTAGGTTATATTAGGGCATCTCAGCATTTAGATTAATTTTATCATTGATAAAAAGCCATAAACGAGTCTTTAAGCAAAGGAATGATGTAATTTGATTTGAATTTCTGAATGTTGTTTATTTCTCTCCCCCCTGCCTCCCTTGTATACTCTTCTTGTGGTAGGCAAGAAAATATTCAGGAGTCCTTGTAGAGTGAGAAAAGTGGGGATCACATAGGGTGATGGCTGAGTGGATGCAGAACAGAGGACAGATTTGGGAGATATTTTGGTGGTAGAAAGCACAGAAAATATTACTAAATGTTGGGTGTGAGAAAGAGTAACAAATCAAGGATTCACTTTTTATTTGATTTTTTTTTTAAAGTACCCAGGTAAATACCAGTGGCATTCTGTGAAATGATGCTGGCAGGAGAGAGAGCACTTTGGGAGGAACATTACAAGTTCTGACTTGGACACATCATGGCTGAACTGCCACGGACAATAAAAGTTGGATATGTAAACTACAGAGTTGGATAGATGGGTCTAGCCAGGAGATATACATTTGGGATTATCACCATGTAAATGATGAAATTGGAAAAGAATATAGAATGATAAGAACAGAGAGCTCAGGACTGAGCCCTGAAGCATTCTAACATTTAGGTGTCAGACAGAAGAGGAATAGGTAGCCAAGTAGATAGAAAAAATGGAGGATGTGGAAATTGGGAGGAAAAAATGTAGGAGTGAACGTTGTCATAGAAAGGGAGAGAAGAAAATGACTAAAGGAAGAGAAAATACACCAGAATGATTAATAGCGAAGCCTGTGGGTCAGCCTGGACACGCCCTCATTCTGATTCCACTACTTGCTAAGCATGTATCTTAGGGCAACATATCAAGCCTAGTTGAACCTTTGTTGACTCCTCTTTATCCATAAAGGGCTTTAAAATGTATAATTGTTCTAATATTTCAAAAGGTTGCTTTGGTTAGACTGAATAAGCTGATACGTCTACCTAGAAGACTGAAAATATCACAGATTTGGCTATTTGGAGGCCAGCAATAACAGTAACAGAAATAGTTTTGGAAGGAATACATGGTGCAGAACCTAAATAGAGTTTACTGAAGAAAAATGATCAGTAAGAACTTCAGTATAGCATGTGGTCATAACTCTTTAAAGACATTTGTATGAATATGGTGGATAGGAAGTGCAGAATATTGCTAGAGGAAATCATACACCAAAGGGAAGATTCTTTTTTTTAAAGATGGAGGACATTAGAGCCAAGAGAATGCTAAATAGATATACTAGAGACTGAATACTCGAGGTAGACATTTCCCTGTGGGGGTGGGAGGGAGAGGGAACCGGAACTCTGTGGAAGTAGGAGGTTTCTGTGGCAACACAGCTGTTTCCAACTTTGTAATAGGAGGAAGGAAGGAAAACAGACGTGTAAATCTCATGCTGGAAAGAAGCAGGAGCTGATGGTTTACACTTTCCTTTGAACTGTAAGACAGAGTCACCTGAGATTGAATGGTGCACGGGGAAAGGAGAAGAAGGAACACTTAGGAAGAATAAAAAAGGTTTAAAATAGAGACTTCAAGAAAGGAGCATACAGTGAGTTTATTATTGAGATGAGGTAGACTTGCTTAGTAGTCTCTTAGTTCCAGTTAAAGTTGATTAATTCAGGCTGTCAACAAAAGCCTGTTTATGAGCTAGAAATAGGCCAGGAGATAATGGTGAAAACCCACAAACATGGCTCTGCCTTTTGGGAGCTTTCATTCCAATATTAAAACAACAACAACAACAACAACAACAACAAAACAACAAAGCAACAACAACAACAACAACAAAAACCTAAAAAACCCAACAAATTAAGCCAAATAATGAACAGGATGATAAAAACATTTTAAATATATTTTATACATAACTGTGTTCAAAGAAACAAAAGAATCCAAGAACTTAGAAAATGGGAGGGCAAGGATGGAGGGCTCTATTTTCTATAGGATGGCATGTGCACAAAGAAAGGTTGACAACCCTTCAGGATAGAGATGGGGGTCTATGTGAAAGCTGAAGCAGCGAAGAATTTGAGCTCTTTAAAAAATCCAAAGATCATTAGCCTGGTGATGGGTATTAAAGAGGACACATACTGCATGGAGCACTGGGTGTTATACGCAAACAATGAACCATGGAGCACTACATCAAAAACTAATGATGTAATGTATGGTGATTAATATAATAAAAAAATCCAAAGATCAAAAAGCCTGGAGTCTGGATTGCCAGGGGGAGAGAGATGTCAGTTATATTGGAAGTGTAGGCAGGAAATGGATCATAAAGAACTTGGATTTTCTTCTAAGTAAAAGGGGAGGCTTTTAAGATGATCATGAATTTCTTTTCTGGGATTAGAGGCAGATCCAGGTTTTATGAAATCAGAAGTTTTACAATGTTGAGGGGTCCTCTTTAGAAAAGAATTCAAAATCATGAATATGTAATTCCTGTGATCTTTCCAATGTCACCACATGTCAGAAAAATGGGACTGAGTAGAAGTTGGAGTGACAGGGGCAGTGGTAAAAACTAATGTGGCCAATAAGGCTTTTATTGCAAATTTTGTAAAACTTATGACCTTGTGAACCCATTGGTAGGAATTCACCGGCATGGTAAAGCCTCCCAAAATTGAATGAACAAATGACAGTTTAATGTTATTTTCAAGTAATTTCCCTCTACCATGTAGGAGAAAATTGCACAAAGATTGGCTGATATCTGAGTTTATTGTCCTGGGAATTCTCCTTTGTGGAGAGGTTTCCAAAGAATTATTGTTGGGGCGCCTGGGTGGCTCAGTTGTTTAAGTGCCTGACTTTGGCTCAGTTCATGATCTCAGGACCATGGGATCAAGCCCTGCATTGGGCTCCACACTCAGTGGGGAGTCTGATTATCCCTCTCCCTCCCCTCTCCCCCCATACATGCTCTCTCTCTCAAATAAATAGAATCTTTAAAAAAAAAAAAAAGAATTACTATTATCGTAAACCACTTAAGCCAAACAGTGCTTCTAGCAATCTTAAATAAATGTACACTTAAAAAAAATTTGTACTAGTATTTCTAAGTATCAGTGCCTGGATTTATGATTTTGACTTTTGGATAAAGACAAATATCTCTAATTCAGGGTATGCCCATTCAAACTCTTCTTTATATTACATTTTAAAAGTCAGTATCTCTATATAACAGTTGGAAAATAGCCAACAGCCAAGATTTATTATTATTATTTTTATTATTGTTTTTTGGTGTTAAGGCAGCATTTTTCACAATGTGATGAGGTAAACAGAAAGTATATAAACAAAGATACATACAAATAAAAGAATTGCTACGTAGAAGACTGAAATAGAATTTTAGGAGAGAATCCCTGTAGTTCTCATCAAGTGTGACCTTCTCAACTAAGCTACAAAACTCAACATTAAAGCAAAAAAAAAAAAAAACAAATTTGCAGAGTTATTTTTTGTGGCATTACTTTTAAGAATAATTATCTTACACCTAATTTTATGATTATGTATAAATACTTGACTTTAGATAGTATGAATATTCTTTTTAGTATGATTCTAATTTTTAAATTTCAGTTTTTAATTTTATAAATTAGCAAGTTAGCAAGTTAGCAAGATTCCTAATTAGAAAAATGCAGTTTTTTTAAATACAGTTTTTGACAATACTTAGCAATGTCACAATTATCACACATTTTAAGGAATAATTTTATACCTTCCTAATTTGAATCAGAACAATTAACAATTTATTAAGAGTTACTATAATTATAGGTATAATAAGAATAGGTAGTTGTATATTGCATAAATATTCAGGACACCTAGAATATGACTATGTGGCCTTGAACACGTTTCTTCATTTTCTTTCATGTTTCAGTTTGATTTCTTCACTTATAAAGTATCGATTAAGCTTTTTAATTGTTCCTCTAACTAAAATACATTAGAAATGTTTCTCTTTAGAGTTCTAGGTCCCCAATTATATTAAAGAAAAATACCAATTTTTATTTGTGTGCAATTTTAAAATTGTAGCTTTAGTTTTTTTAATGTGAGACAATGCTTTTCTGACAGTCTAAAAAAATATAACATTAAATTTTATAAATGTCAGTGATAAAAATCAGATCCAGTATAGGCAAACTGACTTTACAAATAAATTTTTAGGACACATCTATTGCTGTTCAACCCCTTAATATTTCTGAGTCCTGTATGGATTTAGAGGGCATATAAAATCTAATATGTAACAGTTTTCAAAGAAGAGAATTTATCAGAAGCTCCTCTGTATATGCAACACCTTGCCCCCCATTATTATGTGACACATGCAAAATTTACTTTGGCAATGATTAATTATATATTCTTATTAAATTCTTTTACCTTTTTTTATAGAAAGAGAATGTGAGATTCCTCTAATAGAAAAATACTTAATTGTTGAGCCCAGAAAAGACAAATATAGAGTTGGAGATATGTTGAAATTCTCCTGCAGACAAAGATTCACAAGAGTTGGACCAGATTCATTTCAGTGTTATCACTTTGGATGGTCCCCCTAATTTTCCAACATGTAAAGGTGAATATCCTACAATTGCTGAAACAAGAATTAGAAATTAATATCCAATTGTTTATTGAAATATGTAGTAGAAGTATCCATAGATATTTACAGGGTGTCTGACACTGAAGGGACTTTTGTTACTTTTCTTTTTGCCTACAATTCCGCCATTAGTATTGAACATTTTTAATAGCATCAGCCTTAACTCATTTCATTGATTATGTCTAAATGATATTAAGCAACTTTTGGTCAAGTCCATCACATGTATAGCTTAATCAAAGTTAAAATATGTTGATCAAATGCTTATCTCTTGTCTCAAATGATGGTACTTTTTAAAAAAAGTTTTGATGAAATATTGCATGCAATATGATTAATATACTTGTACAGCCATGTTTACTAATTGGTTTGGATACATCTTTAGAATATCTAGATCATTGAACATATTTTTTTTGCTACTTTTTTCCTATTTGTCTGAACTATACTTTCAAAGCTGAATTCAGGGCTTTACCGAGGTTTTTAATCCACTCTTGAAGTTTCTTATGTTTATAGGATTGTAAGGTAGTCAGAAAATATTTTTTGTGTCCTTAGTTTTTTTATGTGTCATATCTAAGATATTTTGCTAATCTCAGTTCACAAAGATTTTCTCCTATGTTTTTTAAAGGCTTTGGTTTTATATTTAATGCTCTACTTTTAGTTAATTTTTGTATATGAATATGAGATATGATAGAATCAAAGCTCTGATTTGATTTGTATATGGGTATCCAATTGTTCTACCTCAATTTGTAGAAAAAAAATGATTATTTTCCCCTGAATTGCCTTTTGCAGCTCTGTCAAAAATCAATTGTTGATATAAATGTGAGTCTATTTCTGAGCTCCATTCTGTTTTTTATCATCTGTCTTCATGCCCAAACCACAGCTTCTTAATTACTGTTTTGTATTAAGTATTGAAATCACATAATGTTAGTCCTTCAAACTTTTCTTCTTTTAGCCATTCTAGGTTCTTTGCATTTCCATGTGAATATTAAAATCAGTTTGTCAATTTCTGCAAAAAAAACCTGCAGTGATTTTGACTGGGATAATATTGAATCTATAGATCATTGGGGAAAATTGATATCTTAACAATATTAAATCTTCTGAACTTTATTTCTTCTTTTATTTGGGCCTTTAGATTATCTCTATGTTTTCTCATTTACAGTTTATCAGTTTTACATGTCTTTAACCAGATTTATGCCTATATATATTGAATGTATTTTCAAGGCTTTTAATATACTTCTAATAGGCTAGTTCAATATAAGTAATAGAATCGGGAAATGAATCTGTTGTAAACCCCATTTTTAAAATTGCTTAAGAATACTATAATAAATTATGTCATGAATAATAAATGGATTAAAGAAAAAACCTCTCTGTTTTAGTGCATTTTTAAGATATAAAGTAGACACTGTAACCATCATTTACACAGTATTTCTACTGTAGAGCTAGTAAAATTGTGTGGCACACATCCTCAACTCCCCAATGGGGAGGTTAAAGAAAGAAACAAAGAAAATTATGAACACAATGAATTGGTGGAATATGTTTGCAACCCTGGATTTTTGATGAAGGGTCCTAATAAAATTCAATGTGTTGATAGAAAATGGACAACGTTGCCTATATGTATTGGTAATGTATAAAAATCATGAATATTCAAACTTGATTAAATCAACACTTTTTGTTTATATTCATATAACCACATAAATTATACTTTAAAGATAAATATATTTTTGTGAAATTTTTACAGAGGCCAGCACATGTGGTGATATACCCGGACTTGATTATGGCTATATTGTTGAGTTTTCTGCCCCTCCCTATCACCATGGAGATTCAGTGGAGTTCAATTGCAGAGAAACATTTACATTGATTGGACACAGATCAATTAATGTGTTAGAGGAATGTGGACCCAACCTCTTCAGTGTGTTGGTGAGAATAGCATTTCTTTTTTTTAATTAAAAAAACATTTTTTTGAAATTGTGTGACTTTTCTGGTTCTGTACAAAGTTTAGGATTATTTGTTCCAGCTCTCTATAGCTATTTTTAATGTAGTAGTTGTTTTGATTTTTATAATTAGTATTATAAAAAAATGAAATCTTTTCAAGGGGATATTTTAATTTTACAGCAACAAATGAACTTAAGAAATGTAAACTATCACACTCATTTAACTATGAGATGGTTGAATTTGATCATAACACCAACAAAAGTTACCAATGTAAAGGAAGATCAGAGAACAAGCACTCAATATGCATAAATGGAAGATGGGATCCTGAAATAGCCTGCACAAGTAAGCTCTTATTTATAATATTTTCAAGAATTTATTTGATTTCTAACTTGTAAAAGAATGATCTTTGTGTCTTAAAAATTAGCTATTTATTATTCAAATAATTTTCAAGCTGGAGGTAATTTAAAAAATAACCAAAACCCTGCTCCTAAATATTGATTGTATCATGTGTATTATAGTCAGCTATATAACAAACCACCTAGAAACCTGGCTTTAAATTAACATCTGGGCAGTAGGTGTACTCATTACTCTTGGAATACCATTGCTTTTAACTCCTTTTATTACACACAAATGTGCTCATACCTATGCCTATAACTAGTAGGTATCTATGTATCTATCTATATATCCATTTATGTATCTGCCCATGTATGTATTTATGTATGTATTATCTCTCTAATCATCTATTTATTTGTGTTTATTTGTCTTGAAACATCTGCATCCTACTAACACCACCAAATGCAACTGAATAGCACAGGCTTTATTCCAGTTTTCCACTTTTCACATTTTGTATCTCTCTTCTCTATCTGTAGGACACCTTATCTCACTATCTTCAACATTTTAATCAATTTTCTCAAGCCTACAATACATAGAAAGTAGTGTCATACCAATACAAAAACCCACTTTACTATCTACAGTTCAACATATTTTTAGTTCTTTTTAAAAAGAAAATAAGAAATATTTACATGCAATGAAGCACACATGCTCTACATTACCTTTTAGAAGCTTTAGAGTTTTAGCATTTATATTAAGTATATCATCCATCATATATTACTTTTTGAGTTTGGTGTAAAATAGGGGTTGATTTAAAAAATATATATATAGATGCTAGTTGTTCTAGCAATATGTGTGGAATACACTTTGAAATGAAAATCAGTTAACTATGTAAATATTGATCTATTTCTAGACTTTGTATCAGCCAATGTATCCATGTATCCTATTCCTGCCACATTGCTTTGGTAACTACAGCTTTATAAGTCTTGAAGTCTGATTTGTACTCTCCAATTATGTTCTTGCTATTAAAATTATTTTACTTAATCTGGTCTTTTCATTTCCATAAAAATTTCAAGGAAAGCTTATGAATTTCTATAAGATATCTGCTTATATAATGAAATGGGTGGTTAATAACAGAAATAATATATAATAAAAATAACAGAAAATACATAAAATGACAATGATAGCAGCACACATTGAAATCTATGGGACATAGCAAAGGCATAGATATCTATAACTTTAAACCATTCATTATAAATAAGGAACAAAATAAAAGCAATAGGAATTACCATCTAGAATTTAGAAAAGAACATGCACCCAAAGAACTTGGAAGTAATGAACAATTAAAGCATAAATTGTTATAATGAGAAGCTAAAAAAAGCATAAACATCTGGTTTACACAATAATAATTCAGCTTTTAGGGAAATCTGGTAAATACATCAACCTCTGGCAAGACTTATCAAGAGGAAGTACAAGTTTAGATTATTAGGACAAAAAATGGTTAAACATTCAGACATAGCATTGAAAAAATATGACAAGATACTTAAATATAAGAAAAAAATTTTTAAGATTGTATTTATTTATTTGAGAGAGAGAGAGAGCACAAATGGGAGGAGGGGCAGAGAGAGAGGGAGAGGCAGACTCACTGCTGAGCAGGGAACCCGATGTGGGGACCGATCCCAAGACCCTGGGATCCTGACCTGAGCCGAAGGCAGATGCTAAACAGACTAAGCCACCCAGGCACTCCAAGAAAAAATATTTTTGATGAAATATACAATACTCATATCAACTTAGAAAATTTGACATTAGTAGCGTGGAGGAAGTTTACTCAGTCAAATATTTCCCTGAATTGAATGTAAAATGTGGACAAGTGAAACAATTTTGACAACTTCACAGTGTATACTCACAGAAAACTTTTAATGAAATAAAGATATGGTGTGACAGGAGAAAGCAAAATCAAGAAATCATAGAGAGGTCCAAAAGCTTCCAGGTATAGTCATCCAGAGACTTTTCTCAGTTGGCCAGGACATGCTTTGCCTTCAAATTATTAACTGCCCAGATATATCCAAGCTGTCTCAGTTTTATGGGAGTTCAGACAGTTTACAGAGAGGTCTTTTATATCCCACTAGTCATGTAACTAAAGGCAGGCTGTTTAAACATTAAACTGTTCATCAGTCTATATATCTTTAAACAGTGTGGGGCAAGCTAGTAAATGGTACCTCCAGGGGAGTTTTGGATTTTAAGCAACATACTATAAATCACTAGTGAACATATTTCATTCTTGTTTTGGCCAAGAATTTGTATCAAATCAACTGATGGTTCACTAAATATAATTCTTCCTGTGGCTAATCACCTTCCTTTGGTAGGATATCCTGTGAAGGTTTTTAATCCAATCCCAACACATTTGATTGTGGACATCTTTAAAAAGTGGCTCAGATGGTTGAGCGTCTGTCTTCGGCTCAGGTCACGATCCCAGGGTCCTGGGATCGAGTCCCGTGTCGGGCTCCCTGCTCCTTGGGAGCCTGCTTCTCCCTCTGCCTCTCTGTCTCTGTCTCTCTCTCTTCCATGAATGGATAAATAAAAAAAAAATCTTTGAGGAAAAAAAAATACTTAAAAAAAAAAAGATCTTGATATCAGTCTTTATTGAGTGCCTGATACTGAGTGAGTAATTCAGCTAGAACATCCTAATGGTTAGAAATAATTAAAAGAGGTTTTATATAAACTATGCAAGATTGATCACAGAAAGAATGAAAGGAAGAAAGTACGAAGAAAACCATGAGAATAAGCCAAATGTGAAGCACCACTGTCCAAGTTAAAGAGTATAACATATTTAAACCTAGAACATGCCATTATTATGTGATCATTTATGATACATCATTTTGAGTTTTCTGCTTAATTATTCTTTTGATATTTTTAACCTATGATTTTTAATCAAGAAATCTAATTTTAATATTTTTAGAGCTACAAACACAGTCATGCCCACCCCCACCTCAGATTCCCAATGCTCAAGATATGACAACTACAGTGAATTACTGGGAAGGAGAAGAAATATCTGTTCTCTGTCAAGAAGATTATGTAATTCAGGGTGCAGAAGAAATTGTGTGTCAGGATGGAAGATGGCAGTCAATACCATGCTGTGTTGGTCAGTAGTGCACACTTGCTTTATGATGTTCTTTCAAATGACGTTAACACTCCCTGTGCTTTCTGTAAATGAACAAGAGGAAGACTTTCTCTATATTCCACTTTATCTTGAAACAGTAAATTACAATCTAAGTATACAAATGAATCAGCATTCTTTCACTGCTTCTGTGAAGTGAACACAGACAAAAACTTCAGGTTACTATGTAGACATGAGATAAAATTTCCTTTTATGCCTATTTTACTCCTTATGATGAGCAAGACAAGGATGAAGGGACATATTGAAACTCAGAGAATAGCAGCATAGATATTATGGAGACATATATCCTTGCAAGTTGCAAATATTTCAGTTTTAAATGATTTAATTTATTCACATTGTCCTTATTTTAAAATCCCAAGTAGTATTTGATTGTATTTTTCAATGTAAGCATTGTATTGGTGTTTGACTCTTTGATCTCTGTTCTTCGTATAGAAAAGATTCCATGTTCTCAACCACCTCGTATAGAACATGGAATTGTGAAAGCATCTAGTTCTTCAGAAGAAAGGAAAGAAACATTTAAACCCAGGCTTTATGCACATGGCACTAAATTGAGTTATATTTGTGAAGATGGTTTCAGGATATCTGAAGAAGATGGGATAATGTGCTACGTGGGAAAATGGAATTCTCCACCTCAGTGTGTAGGTGAGGACAGGACGCAAGCTAAACTTCTATTTTCAATAGAATTTATTGAAAATAATCAGTTGTCATCAAAGTCATGATACAGAATCCTTTAGGTTTCTACATATATGAAATCACTTATATCTAAATGTTTAAAATCATTTATATGTTTATGTATTTTGCTAAACCCAATTTTTGTATAGTCAAAACAATCTTATTTGTGTTCATTTCATTGTTCATTATCGAGTCACTTTTAATTATGGCATTTAAAAAATTAAAACTAGATCCATAGTAACACTAAACCTACCTATTTATATAAATTTACCTATTCACATTCTATTTATTTGAGTTGTAGTGCCCGCTTTGCCAGGAGGTTTTTAAAAATTTTATTTTTCCTACAATGTCCCTTCTGATTAGTTACAGTATATGGTACTTTTCTTAAGATGATTAAAAATTCTCAATGCTTTTCTTTTTATTGTTCATTATTGGTTTGAGAAGCTTTGAAAGTCTCTTTGATAAATATGTTGACAATTGTAGTTTCAAGTTCTTGCCCAGGTTGGCAGCTGGACACACACCAGAATACTGGTTTGAGGAGCATCTGTGTACCTTCTCTGTGATATGATCATTGTTCCTATGTAATAATTTCTTTTTAAATAAAACTACAAAATATGACAACTAGTACATAAAATTAAATTTCAGAGTTTGTGAAACATGGAGTAATTTTTTTTCAATTTTTAAAGGACTTCCTTGTTAACCACCATAGTTGATGACGCATTGTATTCTACCTCACATATTAGATAGTTACCAGTATGGAGTAAGAAGTCACTTACAACTGTGCTGAAGGTTTTGGGATTAATGGACCCACATTTATAAAATATTTAGAAGGAAAATGGTCCCATCCACCAGAATGCATAAGTAGAGTGCCTTTAATTTTACCCTTAATTCAGAGCATAAATGGCACAACTATGAAACTAAATAATACTAGACTTTAACAAGGTATCTCTGGAAAGTTCTGGATTCTGGTAGAGAATTAATAACCCTAATAATAAAAGGTTACAATAAGACCCAAATTATTTCACTTTCCTGTCATCTTGTGTACACTTAGGACAACTTCTGTTACACATTCTCAGACTTCTATTTTCTGTTCCTATACCACAGCTCCTCAATCACATCATTGTTCAATATACTGTTAGTCTGTCAGTTGTCTCCTTATATGTATATAATTTTCTAAGATATTTGACATAATTAAAGGTAGCAGATTTTGACAGAAGCAAAAATGAGAAATACATGCATAATGCAGGTGGCCTATATGGGCAAAAAAGAATTCAAACGTAAGTAGTATGGTCTCAAGCATTACATGTATTCGTATTTCTCTAGGCTTTTTATATCACCATTCCCCTGTTATACTTTAGATAAACATAGAACCACTCACTAAACTCTACTCCTGAAACCAATATTACACTATATGTTCACTAACTAGAATTTAAAGAAAAACTTGAAAAAAAAAGGAAAACAAAAAGAACCATTCAATGTAATTAAGTCAAGACTTCTTATTTTTTTCAAGTTATAAGAAAAATTTTGTACAGTATTCATTGGTTTGATATGTACCTAATTGTTCTAGATTATAGTTATTGGCCATTATGTGTTTTTAAAGATTTACTGAACAAGTACCTATTCTTTTTCTTTCAGAAATGTATTGTTCTAGTTTACCTGACTTTGGTGATGCCATGCTCATAGGCCCAAAGAAGGAATCATATAGATCAGAAGAAAAAGTGACTTATACGTGTCCAGAATATTACCAATTGGATGGATCCAATATTGTACAGTGTATTAAGAGCCAGTGGATGGGAAGGCCGACATTCAGAGGTACTTTAATGAAATCTATGTATTAAAGTGTCTTAAGAATATAATGTAGAATTGCCTCTAGCATCATTAAAAAATGGACATAGATTATTTTTTTAAAGGCCAGAACAAAGGTTTATGCCTTAACATAAAGGAATGAAATTGTGTACCCATTGGGTAATCTTATAGCCCAGTGGTTCTCAAAGTGTGGTCTCTGGAATAGCAGCATCAGCCTCTTTTGGGAAATTGCTAGAAATGCAAATGCAAATTCTCAGGTTCACTCAGACCTATTGAGTCAAAAACATGGGCATGCAACCCTGAAAATGTCTTAATAATTCCCAAGGGATTCAATGTACACTCCAGGTTAGGAGCCATGCTATAGCTTATTATACTTTATATCCACCTCAATTTGAGTGATGAATTACACATTACTCATTATAGCGTCCTTAAGCATTTGCCAAAAAAAAAAAAATCATTAAAGAGTGTTTTTATAAATTATATATTTGTTTTTCTGTTATTTTCCCTGTCTCCTGTGTGGATCCTCAGTTAATCATCTTCATCCTTTAACTATGGTATTCTTCAAAGTGCGTTAATTCTTGATTTATTCTCTAAGGAAGTGCCTACTGTGTTTATTTTTTTAAGGGCCTAAAATTACTTTCATAAAAAGGATGATTGCAAGCCCAATTCTGATGTCAAATAATATTTTTATTATGATTTCTTATGGTTTATAAATCGATTTTGAGTTTATCTGATTCATAATATTGATTTTATTAAACTCAAAGGGAAATGTCCAGAAAAACTGTTTTCATAGAAGCTTAAATCTTATAAAAATATTGCTTTATCTCCTTTTCTGCAATCTTACATATAAATTTCTTTCTTTATTTGACAGAAAGAGGGAGAAAACAAGGAGGGGGAGGGGCAGAGGGAGAGGGAGAGGCAGGTTCCTCCCCAAGCAGGGAGCCAAAGTCTCCCTGGGATCATGACCTGAGCCAAAGGCAGACACCCAACGACTGAGCCACCCAGGCGCCCCTTACATATAAATTTCTTAAAATTAGCAGTCTACCATGAAAGATTAAATATTGATTTTAAGTCCTTGAAATATATTTGGAATCTCATTTGTTGATTTATTACTCAAAATGATCATTACATTAGAGATGTTACTTTTTTCTTTCTCAGATGTTTCCTGTGTGAATCCACCCAGAGTGAAAAATGCTATTATATTAAATGAGATGCCTAGGTATCTACCTGGTCAGAGAATATGTTATGTATGCATCAAAATTCAAAAAAATTTTTTTTTTTTTTTGCAGACTGAACTAAGTAATGTAGTGTATTTCTTTCTTTTTTTAAAAATTTTGTTTTATTTTATTATGTTAGTCACCATACAATACATCATTAGTTTTTGATGTAGTGATCCATGGTTCATTGTTTTCCTATAACACCCAGTGCTCCATGCAGTACATGCCCTCCTTAATACCCACCACCGGGCCAACCCATCCCCCCACCCCTCTCCCCTCCAAAACCTTCAGTCTGTTTCTTGGAGTCCATAGTCTCTCATGGTTCGTCTCCTCCTCCGATTTCCCCCCTTCATTTTCCCCTTCCTTCTCCTAATGTCCTCCATGCTATTCCTTATGTTCCACAAATAAGTGAAACCATATGATAATTGACTTTCTCTGCTTGATTTATTTCACTTAGTATAATCTCCTCCAGTCCCATCCATGTTGATGTGAGTGTTGGGTATTCATCCTTTCTGATGGCTGAGTAATATTCTATTTTATGTATGGGCCACATCTTCTTTATCCATTCATCTGTTGAAGGGCATCTCGGCTCTTTCCACGGTTTGGCTATTGCGGACATTGCTGCTATGAACATTGGGGTGCATATGGCTCTTCTTTTCACTACATCTGTGTCTTTGGGGTAAATACCTAGTAGTGCAATTGCTGGGTCAAAGGGTAGCTGTATTTTTAATTATTTGAGGAACCTCCACACTGTTTTCCAAGGTGGCTGTACCAACTTGCATTCCCACCAACAGTGTAAGAGGGTTCCCCTTCCTCCACAATCTCTCCAACATTTGTTGTTTCTTGCCTTGTCAATTTTGGCATTCTAACTGGTATAAGGTGGTATCTCAATGTGGTTTTGATTTGAATTTCCCTGATGGCTAATGATGATGAACATTAGCCATTTGTATGTCTTCTTTAGAGAAGTGTCCGTTCATGACTTCTGCCCATTTTTTGACTTGATTATTTGTTTTTTGGGTGTTGAGTTTGAGAAGTTCTTTATAGATCTTGGAAATCAGCGCTTTGCAAATATCTTCTCCCATTCCATGGGTTGCCTCTTTGTTTTGTTGACTGTTTCCTTTGCTGTGCAGAAGCTTTTTATCTTGATGAAGTCCCAAAAGTTCATTTTTGCTTTTGTTTCACTAGCCTTTGGAGATGTATCTTGAAAGAAGTTGCTGTGGCCGATGTCGAAGAGGTTACTGCCTATGTTCTCCTCTAGGATTTTGATGGATTCCTGTCTAAATTGAGATCTTTCATCCATTTTGAGTTTATCTTTTTGTATGGTGTTAGAGAATGGTCGAGTTTCATTCTTCTGTATATAGGTGTCCAATTTTCCCAGCACCATTTATTGAAGAGACTGTCTTTTTTCCATTGCATAATTTTTTCCTGCTTTGTCGAAGATTATTTGACCATAGAGTTGAGGGTCCATATCTGGGCTCTCTGTTCTGTTCCATTGGTCTATATGTTTGTTTTTGTGCCAGTACCATGCTGTCTTGGTGATCACTGCTTTGTAATATAGCTTGAAATCTGGCAACATTATGCCCCCAGCTTTGTTTTTCTTTTTCAACATTTCCTTGGTGATTCACGGTCTTTTCTGATTGCATACAAATCTTAGGATTCTTTGTTCCAGCACTTTGGAAAATGTCATTGGAACTTTGATTGGGATGGCATTGAAGATATAGATTGCTCTGGGTAGCATAGACATTTTGACAATGTTTATTCTTCCGATCCATGAGCATGGAATGTTTTTCCATCTTTTGGTGTCTTCTTCAATTTCTTTCATGAGTGTTCTGTAGTTCCTAGAGTATAGACCCTTTACCTCTTCGGTTAGGTTTATTCCAAGTTATCTTATGGCTTTTGGTGCTATTGTAAATGGAATCATTTCTCTAATTTCTCTTTCTATAGTTGCATTGTTAGTGTATAAGAAAGCAATTGATTTCTGTGCATTCATTTTGTATCCTGCTACATTACTGAATTGCTGTATGAGTTCTAGTAATTTGGGGGTGGAGTCTTTTGGATTTTCCACATAAAGTATCATGTCATCTGCGAAAGAGGGAGAGTTTGACTTCTTCTTTGCCAAATTGAATACCTTTTATTTCTTTTTGTTGTCTGATTGCTGTTGCCAGGACTTCTAGTACTATGTTGAACAATAGTGGTGAGAGTGGGCATCCTTGACATGTTCCTGATCTTAAGGGAAAGGCTCTCATCTTTTCCCCATTGAGGATGATATTTGCTGTGGGTTTTTCATAGATGGATTTTATGAACTTGAGGAATGTTCCCTCTATCCCTATGCTCTGAAGAGTTTTAATTAGGGAAGGATGCTGTATTTTGTCAAATGCTTTTTCTGCACAAATTGAGAGGATCATATGGTTCTTCTCTCTCTTCTTAATGTGTTCTATCACATTGATTGATTTGTGAATGTTGAACCACCCTTGCATCCTGGGGATAAATCCCACATGGTTGGGTGAATGATCTTTTTAATGTATTGTTGGATCCTATTAGGATTTTGTTGAGAATTTTGGAATCCATATTCATCAGGGATATTGGTCTGAAATTCTCCTTTTTGATGGGGTCTTTGCCTAGTTTGGGAATTAAGGTAATGCTGGCCTCATAGAATGAGTCTGGAAGCTTTCCTTGTGCTTCTATTTTTTGAAACAGCTTCAGTAGAATAGTATTATTTCTTCTTTGAATGTTTGGTAGAATTCCCCAGGGAATCCATCAGGCCCTGGACTCTTGTTTTTTGGGAGGTTTTGATCATTGCTTCAATCTTGTTACTGGTTATTGGCCTATTCAGGTTGTCAATTTCTTCCTGTTTCAGTCTTGGCAGTTTATAGGTTTCCAGGAAGGTATCCATTTCTTCCAGGTTGCTCAATTTATTGGCATATTGTTGTTGATAATAATTTCTAATAGTTGTTTCTATTTCCTTGGTGTTAGTCTTGATCTCCCCCCTTTCATTCATAATTTTATTAATTTGGGTCCTTTCTCTTTTCTTTTGGATAAGTCTGGCCAGTGGTTTATCGATCTTATTAATTCTTTCAAAGAACCAGCTTCTAGTTTCATTGATCTGATCTACTGTGTTTCTGGTTTCTAATTCATTGATCTCTGCTCTAATCTTAATTATTTCTCTTCTAATGTGTGGCTTAGGCATCGTTTGTTGCTTTTTCTCTAGTTCTTTAAGGTGTAAAGTTAGTTGGTGAATTTGGGATTTTTCTATTTTTTTGAGTGAGGCTTGGATGGCTATGTATTTCCCCCTTAGGACTGCCTTTGCAGTATCCCATAGGTTTTGGACCAATCTGTTTTCATTCTCATTGGTTTCCATGAATTGTTTAAGTTCTTCTTTAATTTCTTGGTTGACACAAACATTCTTAAGCAGAGTGGTCTTTAGCTTCCAAGTGTTTGAATTTCTTCCACATTTTTTCTTGTGATTGAGTTCCAGTTTTAAAGCCTTATGGTCTGAGAATATGCAGAAAATAATCTCAGTCTTTTGGTATCGGTTGAGACCTGATTTGTGACCCAGTATGTGGTCTATTCTGGAGAAAGTTCTGTGTGCACTTGAGAAGAATGAGTATTCTGTTGTTTTAGGGTGGAATGTTCTGTATATATCTATGAGATCCATCTGGTCCAGTGTGTCATTCAAGCTCTTGTTTCTTTGTTGATTTTCTACTTAGATGGTCTGTCTATTGCTGAGAGTGGAGTACTGAGGTCTCCTACAATTAACGTATTGTTATCAATATGAGTCTTTATTTTGGTTAACAGTTTGCTTATGTAGGTAGCTGCTCCCATGTTGGGGGCATAGATATTTACAATTGTTAGATCTTCTTGTTGGATAGACACTTTAAAAGTGATATAGTGTCCTTCTGTGTCCTAACTACAGTATTTAGCTTAAAATCTAATTTGTCTGATATAAGAATTGCTACCCCAGCTTTCTTTTGAGATCCATTGGCATGGGAGATGGATCTCCATCCCTTCACTTTCAGTCTGGATGTATCTTTAGGTTCAAAATGAGTCTCTTGTAGACAGCATATGGATGGGTCCCGTCTTTTTATCCAATCTGCAACCCTGTGCCATTTTATGGGAGTATTTAGGCCGTTCACATTGACAGTGATTATTGAAAGATATGAATTTATTGTCATCATGTTGCCTGTGAAGTCCTTGTCTCTATAGATTGTCTCTGTAACTTTCTGTTCTATATCACTCTTGGGATGTTTTTCCTTTTATAGAACCCCTCCTTAATATTTCTTGCAGGGCCGGCTTAGTGGTCACATATTCTTTCAGTTTCTGTCAGTCTTGGAAGCTCTGAATCTCTCCATCCATTCTAAATGACAACCCTGCTGGATAAAGTATTCTTGGCTGCATGTTCTTCTTGTTTAGTACCCTGAATATGTCTTGCCAGGCCTTTCTGGCTTGCCAGGTCTCTGTGGATAGGTCTGACGTTATTCTGATGTTCCTCCCTCTGTACGTAAGGAATCTTTTCCCCCTAACTGCCCTTAAGATGGTTTCCTTGGTTCTAAGATTTGCGAGTTTTACTATTACATGCCGGGGTGTTGGCCTGTTTTCCTTGATCTTGGGAGGGGTCCTCTCTGCCTCTAGGACACTAATGTTTGTTTCATTCCCCAGATTGGAGAAGTTCTCAGCTACGATTTGCTCAAATATATCTTCTAGTCCTCTCTCTCTCTCCCCCGACTCAGGGATCCCAATAATTTTGACATTGGAAGTTTCATGGTGTCAATTATTTCTCTGATTCTATTTTCATGGATTTTTATTTTTTATGTTATTATTTTTTATTATGTTAATCACCATACATTACATCATTAGTTTTTGATGTAGTGTTTCATGATTCATTGTTTGCATATAACACCCAGTGCTACATTCAGTACGTGCCCTCTTTAATACCCATCACCAGGCTAACCCATCCCTCCACCCCCCTTCCCTCTAGAACCCTCAGTTTGTTTCTCAGAGTCCATCGTCTCTCATGGTTCGTCTCCCCCTCCGATTCCCCCCCTTCATTTTCCCCTTCCTGCTATCTTCTTCTTCTTCTTCTTTTTTTTTAACATATAATGTATTATTTGTTTCAGAGGTACAGATCTATGATTCAACAGTCTTGCACAATTCACAGCACTCACCATAGCGCATACCTTCCCCAGTGTCTATCATCCAGCCACCCCATCCCTCCCACCCCCCACCACTCCAGCAACCCTCAGTTTGTTTCCTGAGATTAAGAATTCCTCATATCAGTTAGGTCATATATTTTCATGGATTTTTAGTTGTTTTTCCCTGGCCTCCTCTTTTCCCTTCTTTTCTATCAATTGGTCTTCTAGATCACTAATTTGTTCTTCTGCCTCGCTTACCCTAGCTGTTAAGATTATCTAGATTAGATTGGATCTCATTGATAGCATTTTTAAGTTCTGCCAGTTCAGCTTTCATTTCTGCCCTTAGAGACTCTATGTTGCCATTAATCAATTTCTCCATTCTAGCTCTTGTCTTCACAATTGCTACCCAGAATTCCATTTCCAACATCTTGGTTATATCTGTATCCATTTGTAAATCTGTGGCAGAAGTCACAGTCTCTGAGTCTTTCCTATTTTGGGGGTTTCTCCTCTTAGTCATTCTGTTGAGGGGTGGTTGAGGGAATGTGCAGAGTCCAAATTACTGACCACAACCAAAGCAAGATGCACCTGTTTTATAGGGACCTTAGGGTTGCCGGCCTCTTGTTCTCCCAGTCTGTCTTCTGGGTGAGGGACCTGCTGCGCTGTTACTCAGGCAACCCTGTTTGGGCAGAGTTGCCCTGTGCCCTGTGGCCGGGGATGGGCTCAGTGAAAACCGGTTTTTTGGGGCTTTTGTTCTCTGGCGGCTTTCCCTGGCAGCTTTCCACATCTCTTCTGAGAGTCAGAGCAGAAGAGATTGTTTCCAACCCCCTGCCTCAGAGCAGAGAGACTGCAGATTGTTTTTCAGTGAGTTCTCCAGGCCATGTTATCTCCGTTTCTGTCTGTGCTGCTATAAACTGCAGCGTCCTGGATTGTGCGCCCCTCAGCAGGGCTCCCAGTCCTCACCTCCGGGTTAGGGCATGTCTCTGCCCTTTGTGCTTCTAAAACTGCCTGCGGCCCTCAGTTCGCATGTGTAGTCCCACTGCTCTGGGTTTCAGTCTGGGGGCTGCCCTAAAGTCCTTTCTCCATCGCTACCAGTCTGCAAGTCTGTGCCCCGTCCCCAGCGTGGGAGGCTATCACTCACTGGTGGTGTAGGATCACCATGGCTCTGCTCCCTCCCCCCTTCTGTTTATCCTCTGATATCTGCCTGCAGAATCACGGCTCCCCGCTCCATACCTCGAAACCAACCACCTGCGATACTCTGTTTGTAGAGATCCAGATCTATCTTCTTACATCTCAGGCTGATTTCGTGGGTGTTCAGAGTGGTCTGGTAGATATCCAGCTCAATTCCAGGGACTGGTTGGAATAGGGTCCCCTACTCCTCTGCCATCTTTTCCTCCCCCAATGTAGTGTATTTGTTTCATGAAGGATTTGGCCAGATTAAAAGAACAGTTGGAATCATGGAAAATTGCCTATCTTAAGCATTAGGACACTCAGTTATTTTCTGAGGAACAAATGTATTAAAGCTACCTTAAGTACATTTGACTACTCAAGAAATTCCATTTTGAGACATGGAATAGGCAGCTGGGGTGTGATCATAGAAGGTGATATAAATTTGGGCTTCTTCAGCATGTGGATTATATTTCAAGGTAGTTTACTAGTGGAGCTTATCCAGGGGATTAGTGTGTACAGAAAAGAAAGTCTGAGAACCAGTCATAGAACACTCTAGTATTTAGAGTTCAGGAAATGAAGGCAACAAAAGTGATATTATATTAGCCGTTTGTATTTCATATCAACTTTTGCCTGCCATATATACTTTCCAATCTTTTACTTTGAGCCCACCTATGTTTTCATGTTCAAAGTGAGTTTCTTTTAGACGCCATATAGTTGGGTCTTGTTTATGTGTCCACCATGCCATTTCACTCTTTTAACTGAAGTATTTAAACCATTTACACAGGGATGCCTGGGTGGCTCAGTTGATTAAGTGTCTGCCTTCAGCTCAGGTCATGATCTCAGGGTCCTGGGATGGAGTCCAGCATCAGGCTCCTTGCTCAGAGGGAAGCCTGTTTCTCCGTCTGCCTCTGCCTGCTGCTCCCCTGCTTGTGCACGCATATGCTCTCTCTCTCTCTTTCTGACAAATAAATAAAATCTTAAAAAAATATACCATTTACACATAAAGTAATTATTGATAGATTAGGGGCTGTGTCAGCCATTTTATTATTTGTTTTATGTGTTTCCTCTGTTTCTCATTCCTGTTTTCTTGCCTTCCCTGCAGATTTTTGGAACATTTTAAAATCATTTTGTTTTGATATATCTATATTGTTGTTGAACAGATCACTTTGTGTAGTTTTATTAGTGTTTCTGGTGGTATGAAGATGCACATATATAGCTTATCACTGCCCCCTGGTATTGACATTTTACCACATCAAGTGAAATGTGGGAACCTTGCTTCCATTTAGGTCTATTTACTCTCTCCAAATTTTTAACATAAAGCTTTTAAGTATTTCCTCTACATTAGTGAGCACCACATTAAATTATATAATTTTGCACAAACACCAAACATAACAAACTCATTAGGAAAATGTATATTACATTCACCCCCATTTTTATTAATTTCATTGTTTTCTTTTTCTTCCTTCCTGAAGTCTCCATCCTTCTGTTATCTTTTCCTTTTAACTTGAAGAATTCCTTGAGCAATTCTTTAAGGACAGACAGGTCTGCTGCAGACAAATTCTCTGTCTTCCTTTGTCTCAGAATGTCTTCATTTTGCCCTTAAATCCTGTAAGATAGTATCTCTGCATATAGAATTTGGGGTTGACAGTTCTTGTCTTCCAGCACTTGAGAGGTGTTGTCACTTCTTTCTGACTCCATGGTGACAGATGAGAATCCCACCAACATTGGAATCCTCTTTCCCCATAGGTTAGCATAATTTCTATCTAGCTGCTTTGGATATATATATATATATTTTTTTTTTTTTCTTTTCTCAGTAGTTTTCAGCAGTTTGATTACAATGTATCTTGGCATGAATTTCTTTAGGTTTATCCTGTTCAGCCTTTTTAATGTGTAGGTTTATGCCTTATGACCAATATAGGAAATTTATCAGACATTATTTTTGGAAGTTGTGTTGTTGTTGTTTTAATCTCCAACCTCTTTCTGTTCTCTTTCTGAGTATCCAGTTTTTTGCTAACTTCTCACAGGTCCTTAAAGCTCTTTCTACTTTTTGTTGTTGTTTTCAGTCTGTTTTCAAAGTGAATAATTTGTGTTCTATATTCAAGTTTGTATATCCTTCCATCACCTGAGATCTATAACTGAGCTCATCCAGTAGGTTTCTAAAAATTTTTATTATTATATTTCCCAGTTCTATACTTCCTATTGGATTTTTAAAAACCATTGTCAAAGAATTCCAATTTCGGTGTCATCTTAGTGTGGTCTTCTGTTGATTTTCTTTCCCTTTTTAGGTATTTCTGGTCCTTGGTATGATGATTGATTTCCAATTATATTCTGGACATTTTGGGTATTGTGTTTTAAGACTTCGGATTTTATTGAAGTCTTTTATTTCTCAGGCCCCCATTACTACCATGCAGCGTGTAAGTTCAGGCTCCTCACTTGGCCTCTGTGGATCAAGGTAGGGAGAGGTGTGGTCTTAAGTTTCTTCTATGATATTTTTCTGAAGTAATTTAAGTATTGTGTAAAAATGTTTGTTTTGCTAGCTTACTCCTTTCCTGAGCCTTTGTCTAAAGAAACAAAGGAAATTCTTGGGACCTTTTTTTTTTTTTTTTGTTTTTTTTTTTTTTTTGCTTGAACTTGGTATCATTTCTGGGTTACAGTCTTCTTCAGTGCTCAGTCCAGGATCCACTGAAGGCAAAATGAAAAACCAAATAACTCACTGCAGTGTGATTCCTTGAATTCTGAAGTCCTTGAAAGACTGACTTCTTGTCTACATCTTTCATAGTCTCTTATGTTGGATTTTTGCAATACGTTCAGGATTTTTAGTTATACTTAGCAGAAGGACTGAGGAGAAATGTTTCTACCTCATCTTGTCCAGAACAGAAACCAGCAATTCCCTTTTACATTATACAAATGTGTAATTCTTTGAATTTTATTAAAGAAATCGATGTTTCTTTTGTAATAAAAGTGAAAATCAATAAACAATGACTAGAGATCCAATAGACACTGTAGTATGTTGTCTATAGCAATAAAGATTCTTTGTTTATATTAGCTACCCATCTATCCAGCATTTATTCACTAAGAAAAACATTTTTAATATCACAATACTGCAAAGCAGATGTATTTGTTAATGCTTCTGTGTGCTTTCATGTGGGATAAAAAAGGGCGTAACATGTGTGCTTTTCAGTTTCTGTGATTAAAATTTCTTTAATGAATCATTTGTGTCAGCAGATATTACAAGTGTTGATATTAAGTATTGTACTATATTTTTATCGCTTTAACCTGTTTTTCTTTGGCCTTTCAATAAGTCAAATAATGTCTTTTAGACCCTAAAGGAAAATGTGGGCCCCCTCCGCCTATTGACAATGGAGACATTACCTCATTCCCATTACCAGCTTATGCTCCAGGATCATCAGTTGAGTAGCAATGCCAGGCCTTCTATGCACTTTAGGGAAACAGGAATGTAATATGTAGTAATGGACAGTGGTCGAAACCACCAAAATGCTTAGGTAAATATTTTAATGTTCTCATGGATCCTGGGAAAATCAGTGTAGTGAATATGATGTTTAGCTATTTATAATAGAATTTTCAAGGATTAACAAACTGTCATTCTGTTGAATGCTTGACAATCAAACATTAATACGTGAGGAAACAAAGTTTGCAAAATTCTTGTTCAGGCAGCAAAATATTTTTTAATTCATAATTCATAATTGACATTATGAATCTTTGATTGTAACAATTATCGCAGACTAAACATAGTACCTCATTTTTACATCATTCATTGCTTAAAATCATTTAAATCTACATGATGGATTTTCAGTCAATTGGTTTAGAAAAGATTTTGAGAATGAAGCCCTGAACCAGTGTGGAAGATTCCCCTTGAAAGTCCAAAATTCTGGGGAAAATATTATTTACTACTTAATGTTTTTTGTTCATTTTTTGTACTTTCAGATCCATGTGTGCTATCAGAAGAAACCATGAGAATGTTTAACATATGGTTATGATGGAGTAGGGAGAAACAAATTTCTGCAAGAGCAGGGGATATTGTTGAATTTGAATGTAACTATGGATATCATAGAAAGACACCATGATATACATTCCGAGCAACCTGTCGGGAAGGGAAATTGACATATCCAGTCTGTGGATAAAACAATGGTTAAAATGCTGTCCTAAAATTAAAATATGTACATTTATTCAGGATTTTTCATTACTAACCTAATTCTCAGTTTAGTTTTTCAAGTATTAACTAATTTTTATTCATAAGTCAGAATATGTGTTTAATATTATGTGGATGGTGTAGTTATAATCTAAGAGACAAATGAATCACTTTTTTTTAGGGGGGGTGTCAGTAAATATTTTTAAAATGAGGTACAATGTGGGAAATAAACAAATTAAGTTAAATAACAAATGGAATCATGTTTAGGTCAATTCCTGGCAAATAGTAAGCACTCAGTTAGGGTCTATTGAATGGATACATGTGTACCTTTTTAACCAGGTCTCACATATGCTCCATTAAAAAATAAATCCAAGGAATGGAGAGATGTTTGTCAAAGGGTACAAACTTTAGGTATAAGATGATTAAGTTCTGGGAGTTTAATGTACAGCATGATGATTTTAGTTAACAAAACTGTGTTATATATTTGAAAGTTGTTAAGAGAGTAGATCATAAATGTTCACACCACACACACAAAAATGGGAATTATGTGAAGTGATAGAGATGTTAATTAATCTTATGGTAATCATTTAGCACTATATATGTGTATCAAATGATCATGTTTTACAACTTGAGTTTACAGAATGTTATTTGTCAATTATATCTTTGTAAAGTTGGAAAAATATTACATTAAAATATTTAATGAATAAATAAAAAGGATAAAAATAAATCAGTTTTTTCCTTGATAGTTTAGACCATTGGTAACCTAGCAGATAATTATTGAAAGGTATGTATGCTTAGAGCATGCATTTACAGGATGTTATATGCTCATTTGAATCTATTTGATATTTTTATTTTTAAATTTAATTATTTTTATTTTTTATTATTATGTTCAATTAGCCAGCATATAATACATCATTAGTTTTTGATATAGTGTTCAATGATTCATTAGTTGTGTATAACACCCAGTGCTCATCACCACATGTGCCCTCCTTACTACCCATCACCCGGCTACCCCATCCCCCCACCTCTCTCCTTTCTGTAACCCTCAGTTTGGTTCCTGGAGTCCAGAGTCTCCCATGGTTTGTCTCCCCCTCTGATTTCTTCCCATTCAGTTTTCCCTCCCTTCCCTGTGGTCCCCCGTGCTATTCCTTATGTTCCACATATGAGTGAAACCATATGATAATTGTCTTTTTCTGCTTGACTTATTTCACTTAGCATAATCCCCTCCAGTTCCATAATATTCCATTGTATACATGAACCACATCTTCATCCATTCACCTGTTGAAGAGCATCTTGGCTCCTTCCACAGTTTGGCTATTGTAGACATTGCTGCTATGAACATTGGGGTGCATGTGCCCCTACATCTGTGTCTTTGGGGTAAATACCTAGTAGTGCAATTGTTGGGTCACAGGGTAGCTCTATTTTTATCGTCTGGAGGAACCTCCATACTGTTTTCCAGAGTGGCTGTACCAGCTTACATTCCCACCAGTAGTGTAGGAGGGTTCCCCTTTCTCCACATCCTTGCTAACACCTGTTGTTTCCTGTCTCAATTTTTGCCATTGTAACTGGTGTAAGGTGGTATCTCATTGTGGTTTTGATTTGTATTTCCCCAATGGCTAGTGATGTTGAACATTTTTTCATGTGTGTTAGCCATTTGTATGTCTTCTTTGGAGAAGTGTCTGTTCATGTCTTCTGCCCATTTATTGACCGAATTATTTGTTTTTTGGGTGTTGAGTTTGAGAAGTTCTTTATAGATCTTAGATACCAGCCCTTTATCTGTAATGTCATTTGTAAATATCTTCTCCCATTCTGTGGGTTGCCTTTTAGTTTTGTTGACTGTTTCCTTTGCTGTACAAAAGCTTTTTATCTTGATGAGTTCTTTTTTGCTTTTGTTTTCCTTGCCTTTAGAGACATTTCTTGAAAGAGGTCGCTGTGGCCAATGTCGAAGAGGATACTGCCTATGTTCTCCTCTAGGATTTTGATGGATTCCTGTCTCACATGGAGGTCTTTCACCCATTTTGAGCTTATCTTTGTGTATGATGTAAGAGAATGGTCCAGTTTCATTCTTCTGCATGTGGCTGTCCAATTTTCCCAGCACCATTTATTGAAGAGACTGTCTTTGTTCCATTGGATATTCTTTCCTGATTTATCGAAGATTAGTTGACCATAGAGTTGAGGGTCCATTCCTGGGGTCTCTATTCTGTTCCACTGAGTCCAGGGCCAGGTGACTTCCCAGGGGAGTTCTACCAAACATTTAAAGAAGAAATCATACCTATTCTACTGAAGCTGTTTCAAAAAATAGAAATGGAAGGAAAACTTCCAAAATAGAAATGGAAGGAAAACTTCCAAACTCGTTCTATGAGGCTAATATTACCCTGATCCCAAAACCAGACAAAGACCCCAACAAAAAGGAGAACTACAGACCAATATCCCTGATGAACTTGGATGCCAAAATACCCAACAAAATCCTAGATAATAGGATCCAACAGTACATTAAAAGGATTATTCACCATGACCAGGTGGGGTTTATTCCTGGGATGCAAGGGTGGCTCAACATTTGCAAATCAATCAATGTGATAGATCACATTTACAAAAGAAGATACAAGAACCATATGATCCTCTCACTTGATGCAGAAAAAGTATTTGACAAAATACAACATCCTTTCCTGATTAAAACTCTTCAAAATATAGGGACAGAGGGAACATACCTCAATATCATAAAAGCCATCTATGAAAAGCCCACAGCGAATATCATTCTCAATGGGGAAAAACTGAGAGCTTTTCCCTTAAGGTCGGGAACATGACAGGGATGCCCACTCTCACAACTTTTGTTCAATATGGTACGAGAAGTCCTAGCCTCAGCAATCAGACAACAAAAAGAAATAAAAGTCATTCAAATTGGCAAAGAAGAAGTTAAATTTTCTCTCTTTGCAGATGACATGATACTTTATGTGGAAAACCCGAAAGACTCCACCCCCAAATTACTAGAACTCATACAGCAATTCAGCAACATGGCAGGATACAAAATTAATGCACAGAAATCAGTTGCATTTCTATATATTAACAATGTGAGTGAAGATAGAGAAATTAAGGAATTGATTCCATTTATAATAGCACCAAAAACCATAAAATACCTAGGAATAAACCTAACCAAAGAGGTAAAGGATCTATACTCTAGAAACTAGAGAACACTTATGAAAGAAATTGAGGAAGACACAAAGAGATGAAAAAACATTCCATGCTCATGGATTGGAAGAATAAACATTGTGAAAATGTCTATGCTGCCCAGAGCAATCTAACATTCAATGCAATCCCCATCAAAATAGCATTGACATTTTTCACAGAGCTGGAACAAACAATCCTAAAATTTGTATGGAACCAGAAAGGACCCTGAATCACCAGGGGATTGTTGAAAAAGAAAAGCAAAGCTGGGGACATCACAATTCCGGACTTCAAGCTATATTACAAAGTTGTGATCATCAAGACATCATGGTATTGGCACAAAAACAAATGAATCACTTCTTGAAAGCACCACATTAGGGGTGCCTGGTAGCTCAGTGGGATGGGTGTGACCTCAGGGTGTGGGATTTAGTCCCGCCTCAGTCTTTCTGCTCAGTGGGGAGTCTACTTCTCCTTCTCCCTCTGCCCCTCCCCCCACCACTCATGTGCACTCTTTCTCTCTCTCCCCCTCTCAAATAAATAAAATCTTAAAAAACAAATCACCACATTAAAACTTGACAAACCAAAATGCTATGTGTCCTATTCATAAAATATCTATGGCAAGAAATTAGGTTCAATCACTTCAGAGCCTGCTTCTATCCATCTTTCTCCTAACTTCCTCAAAGCTCCCTCCATGACTTCTGAGGCCTCCTGAGACCCTGTTTCAGCAGAAATGTGAGAAAATGCTTTTCTCCATCTTCAAAATAATATTATTTCAAAAACACATAAAACCTATGTCATATCTATGTTAGTAATATGATGTAAGTAGTTATCACTTACTTTTGCTTATCTATCAATAGATGTATATACCAAAAAATGATGAAATGCATGATCTCCTACAAGATGACTCTCTACCACACATAAAAATTAAATCATAAAGAGAAAGTAGAATCTAATTGTGTGTATAACTATAATAACATGACATAAAAAGTGACCCAAAAATCCAAAATCAAGAATAAACACAAACACACACACACATATACCCCATGCTTTGCACACTGAATAAATGTTTACAGAACAAGGTCAGCAGAAGTACAATAGAATATTTACAAAAGCTATAGTTAGCTATAGTTAGAAATTAATGGTCTGAGTTGGTATTTAATTCCCTAATACTCAACAGTATTCTCCATTTTT